ACACAGTTTTACTAGCCTCCCAGCCCCGTACACGCGAAAGGTCCACTTTTTAGGTAATCGCGTAGTGTGTCTTTAAGTTCGCCGAACGAGAAATGGTTATGAATTGCAATCATTTACATTTTATAAATTCTAGACGACGAAATTATCGTATATTGTGATTTTCAGCGAAATTGGAGAAATACTTCCAAAAGCAACAGTACAACCATGCACAGCACCAGCATCCCCAGTATGACATGTCTGGAATGCAAGTTGCTAATGTGAACCCCGCAGTGATGTAAAGGAGGGCGAACGACCGGTTTGATCATTTTTAGTATGTATCCTTGGTTTGCCTATCCATTTTGAAGTATTCTTGGTGGATATGGTTGTTTAGCACTTAAACTCAGGTGAGGCAGAAGAGAATATAAAGATCGTATGCTTCTTTTTTGTAACCTTTCTCACCTGTGCGTAGGCGCTCAACCATACCAGAATCATATTTTTATGGCCTCTGGGAAAGAGCTCGCTGACAAGACGTAAATTCTTTTTTTAGCGAACGTTTCATACACTCTACTTCACGCCTGTAGGGAAGGCGTGGCTACGTACTTCGTTTAGGCGCGGCGTATGGCGCTTTTGTAGGATATTTCCCTTTGAGACAGCAGTCATCCTGTTTATGCTGGATAAAGACATGAACACATTTGTTCCTAAACGAAAATATTCCACAGCAGCCAGAGGCTTCAAATGAGCCACGTAGCCACGCCCTTCCTATCTGCGGGATATGGAATGTATGTATCTTCGCACAAAGGATTTGTGTTTTGCTAGCGAATTCCTGTAGCGAATTCTTCATGGACCTTTACTTCCCTAAATTTTGTTTGCGTACACTGCTCAGCGACAGATATTCTATCGCTTGTTTCGTGGTTTTAATAGTTTGTAGAGATGTGTATTTGTATATTATAAGTGAAAAAAGAAATCTTGGAAATGGTCTGCCTCTATACGACCCCCATCACTGTCCCAGCTGAAGATGTTTGATGAAGATGAGTTTTGAAATATGTCACCAAACTGCTCCTACAAATTTTTTTGTTCGCCTGTTTCACGTTTCACAACGTTGTTAACAACCGTTTTGTTTATATAAAATAGACTTGTTTGTATTTCTAATAGATGTCATTGATTTGTACTGAATATTTCTAGTATTCACTTTTGTAGAGCGATACATGCTTAGCCCCATCCATGATGACACACAGTATTTGATCTACAGAGATAACTAGCGCGTGGTGTTTTTCAGCATAAGCGCGTTTCTTTTATATACAGTTTTGTTGGTTTTAGCCTCCTTCTCTCTCTCTTTTATTGCGTGTTGGCTAGGGCACGTGGTTGTATCAACCTTGTTGTGTTATTAATTGTTACATTGCTAGCGCATAAAAATGTATTGTCTTTTGTAATTAAAGTGTTTTTCTGAGGATTAGTCAGGCCCTGAGAAGCTTCAAGGGCATTTAAGGGGGGTGAGGTCAGGATAATCGTAACTTCCTGTTCCGTCGCGTGCCTTTACGTGTCGATTAGAGCGCCTGGATTACGTCAACTACGACATCGTCGACGTTTATGGCTGTTTCCAGATTATGCATTTCAACATGTTCAGCAATCTACTAACCTGAAGAGGTGCTGCTTCCGTAAGCGTAAGCGTTTTTCTAAATTGTTGACCTGTCGACGAGCAGCATTATCGTAGACCCCCTTCACCGTGAACAATAAACTATTTTCAGCTCTAAATTGCCTGTTGTCACCATCCACCATTTGGAACCATCGACAATTGCGGCCGCGACGTCGCACGCTAGCCCGCCAGCGCGGTGAATTACGATTCTCTTGTCACATACCCAAAAAAATGCAATGGGACTTCCTTTCCATATCCGGTGGATACGACCCCGGTCAGGGCTCCTTCGGCGTATGATTGATCCATGTGTATGCGCTAGGTCGGCGCACTTTGTCGACGGGGGGGGGCATTTTGCATTGTGCCGACCCATCTAGGTAGCCTTTTCTCGAGTTGACACGTTTTAGGATGGTGGCTAGACGATCTTGCTCCAGCTTCACAAGTTTTACCAGGGTGAGATTTGTAAACCGGAACTAGCAATGGTAGTACAAATTGCCCCTCCGTCGACAAACAGCGCCCGCTAGGTCTATAGTCCGGAGGGGAGAGGGTCCCCCCCTCCCCGGTGGAGCACATGCGCGTGCCGATCAAAGTCGCCACGGTGGTGCGGCAAACGAGCTGAAAGGCACAGCTATCAGTGTTATTTGATAGACTAGCTCATTGTCAGCCCACAGTTCAGTCCATCAGTTCTTCGGTTCGGTAGCGCCGGCGTGCGCAGTGGCAAATACAATTGGGTAATCACAGTGAAAACAGCATATCTTCTGAGAAAGGTTTCTTTTTTTGGTTCGCCACGTTATCGCTGCGTCGACAGTAAGCGTTTCGCGACGCGTACGCTCGCCTGTGAGTTTCTCCGCAAAGCCTATAGTCCTTGAAGTTCGTTTAGTTAGTGCGACAAATCAGATCTAAGCTATGGTAGATGTAGAGCATTTGGCTCACCCCTGATTTGGAAGGTTTGAAATTTCCCCTTATTCGATTTCTGTTGGTGGAGAGTTCTGAGGACGTAGTAGAATTGTCCACCCCTCCCCCTTTTTCTTAGCATTACATTTACGTGATCGCAAGTCAGAGATGTGCGTGCGCATAGATAGCATCGCTGGACGTCCAGACTGCAATTCATCTAACCTTAAAGGGCGTGTCTTCTATAGCTATTCGCCAAAAAGGTGTCATTTTTGAGAACACGACTTGCTGCGTGTTGAGGATATTATGGGGAGTCAAGAAGGGGGTTGTGTGGGGACCTGTACCGTTGAGAATGATTATAGGAGCTTTGGAAAAGCAGGTAAAAACAGGGAATTCGAAGGTCGTATTGGAGCCGGTGGTAAGGGGAGGTGGTTTAGGTAAAGATTACTCCATACTGCCATGGCGTAACGTGAGCAAGATACCACTAAAAGTGCTTCAAAATGGGGTAGACTCTACACAACCACCCGCTTTCCGAGCTACGTCACACATTCCAGTCTGGAGAGTGGGGGCCTTATTTCCATGTCGCGAAAGTTGCAGCTGAGGCGACTTGCGCGGAATCCACACCACTCCCAATTCATGAGCATAGCAGGGCTACAATGTGTCAGGTCAACTGGCTAGGAAAAATATTCTAGATTAAGATGTTCAAATTCATTGAGTAAGTGGACGTAGCAGGTTGGGCGCGCGCGTCATCAAAAGCGCTTTCCACACTGGGTATGTGACAGGAGAATCATAATTTGTCGCGCTAATGGGCGTCGCGTGTGACGTCGCGCGCCCAATTTACGATGACTCCAGGTCGTAGATGGCGATAACAGGCATTATAGAACCGAAGTCTATAGTTTCTTATCCAAGTGGAATCCGGTGCTCCAGTCGACAGGCTAACACGAGTTAAGAAAAAGCCGCGCCCATCGCCTGCGCGCGGCGGAGCGGTCAAGCTACGACTATCTTGGCCGTCCCTCCACAGTATTCGTGTGGGCGCTACTCGCAGTGTCTCCTCCTAGCCACTTGGAAAAAAGAAGCAGAAGTGCATCGAAGAGTGCGGGCTAAAAGGACGGGTTGAAATGAGGGAGCAAGACGATAAAGGACTAGTAACAAATGTGATATTGATATGGATCGGCTAAACGGTATCATTTTCAAGTGGTCGTTTTGCATGGGAAAAGGAGTTTCATTTCCTCTTGGCCCTCTACTGAAAGGAGTTGACCTGCTATGAATGGTATGTTCACAGTGTTCGAATGCAGTCTAGCTATTGACAACGTTGCTGACATCAGTTTGCCCTCTATACGGTTCTCTTTCAGGAGGAAATTCTTGCCCAGAACCAGCGTCAAATGGCACCTATACACCGAAGCACGTGTGGACATTCTTTCAAATTTCACATGGTATTATGAAAGCTCTAATTGGTCCGACAGAACTTTCGACCAGAACTGTAAGTTCACCACCATCGCCTCAATATGTGCCAGGTAGAAGCCACTCTCCAGCGGGACTAGATACTGTCATGTCTGCTTACCAGCATCCTCTCCCTGAAACAGTGTGACGTGCTCTAACATGGCTTAGTCAACGTCAGAGCGCAGAACTATCATTATCACCGAGAGAGCTGAGGCACATAGCAGCCTAATAACGTCCTGTCGTCCAATTGGGAATAGGAAAATTCAACGTTAAACGCTTGGCCCTTGACGTCATCCCTTCTTACTTTATATCTGTTACTTTGTTCCCAGAAAGACCCTGTTTTGGAAAAGATTTCCTCATGGGTGAGGCCCATCTGAGTTTAGTGGACCAAGTTTCCAGAGGATTCTCTGAACTTCACTTTCTTCCGTCGCGTTCCCCTTTCCAGTAGGAGCTGCTTTCCATCTTCAACATTGGGTGCAATCCTACCACCTAGTGGATTGACCGCTAATCTATGAAAGGGTCTGTGTTCAAAAGGGTTGTGTAGCAGGAGGGTCTTATCACAATCATAATCACAAATGGTTGATAGCGCAATACCGATTCATTTTTCAGTTTATTAGAGGTCGGTCCCCATACCACTCCGCCACACTTCCTCACACCCACTATGTAGGCGGGCAGATCGGCAATAAATGGCCAATATCGGGGTAATCAGTTGGGGCGGTGCCAGGAAGGGGTGGAGTGATGCCGCCCCGGGTTCTTTTTCTACCATTAGAGGTCGGTTAGTGATCGATTCAGAAAGAAAGCAACCAGTGGTGGAAAATGCAACGGCAGGGCTCATTCCTGCCACGTGACACCGCTCCCACTCATTCCGACAGGAAACGGGCAAGAGAATCGTAATTTGCCGCTCCGCCGCGCGCGGCGATGGGCGCGGCGTTTTCTTAACTCGTGTTAACCTGTCGATTGGAGCACCGGACTTCATGTAGACCCCGTCATCGTAGACATTCATGACTATTTTCGGTTCTGAATTGCCTGTTGTCGCCATCTACTACCTGGAACCATCGTCATTTGCGGGCGCGACGTCGCACGCGACGCCCATCAGCGCGGCGAATTACGATTCTCTTGTCACATACCCCACTGCCACATTTTAGCTCCAGCTTTGGTTGTAGAATGATGAAGGGTGTCTTCAGTGACAAGACAGGGTGGGGAAGTTTCGGCTCTTTTTCAATACCTACTTTTTGGGGTCACGGACAAGTGGCTTATAAGTCTCTAGTGTTCTGAATTCTGAATGGAGCCATTTAAGGAGACTTTTTTAGAATGTCAAAAATGCTATGAATGACAACG